ACACACTTTTGTGGATGAGGATGTACACAGAGAAGACAGGTGGTTTGAGAGAGGGGTGAAGGAAGCCATCTACATCAATCTGGAGAAATCATCTCTCAACAGAGGAGGTGGTTTGAGACACAACCTTTCATCCACCTATAACGTCGTCCTGAGTTCTCTCCCTGACAACAAGACCACAGTGTCATTTCAAAGGACACTCAGCCAAATGTGTTGCTCAGGTGGAACCATCCATAGCTATGGTACCACTCCCCATTCACACTAACCTGGTGACTTTACATTCCGCCCTCCTCGTTACTGGCATGCAGCTTCTCTGAGGCCAAATACCAGAACTTCCCAGCAGTCAGTCAGAACTGAAGTCGCCTCTTGGATGAGAGGTGAAACGTCTTCAAGACACCTTCTCCGTCCAGTTGCCCCCGATGTAACTATCATTGGATAAAATGACCTGGATGACTGAGAACATACACAGACATGTACTACATTGGTAGAAAATCAACACCTAATAAAACTGTAAAGTAGAAAACAACAAAGAAGTGCAGGGGGTGAGGGGCGGCTGAAGATAATGTTTTCAATTAACCTTGAGTGATGAGACCAACAGAACTTGAACGTCTCACAGCTCATTGTGCTTCAGTCCTGAGCGGAGGATCTTATTGGATAGATCCTGCATGTGTTTCTTCATCTGTGAAATCAAAGAAGAAAAAAAGTCAGTTTTCATTTTGAATAAACACATTGCTGTAAATACAATGACCAATAATGCTGCACTTTACTCACTGTAAACAGTTGGTGGTCATTCTGTCTGTGACTTTTTTTATGAATAAATGAGATTCACATTTATGTCCAGATCTCATAATTGTCTCCTAACACCAGACTAATAAACTGCATCAATTACATTCATTATAGGTAATGCTACAAAATACTGTGTTGACCCAGATCCTCCCCTAGTGATCACTTCCTGTCCTCACCTTGTAGCCCATCTCCCTGGTCTTCTCAGACAGGGTGTTGTACTTCTCCTGGTTCCTCTTGATGTGCTCCTTGTCGCCTAGAGCCTCCACGTGCTGCAGCTTCTGGTGGGAGAGCTCCAGCTGCTCCTGGTAATGGCTGTGCTTCTCCACCTTGGTCTCAAAGTGACGCAGCTCCTCCTACAGGAGAGGGCAGGGAGGGAGACAGAGGGGTATGAGTTAGTTGACATTCAGTAAGCTGCCCTGCTGCTCAGGGCATCCGACAGGAAGTTAAAGTGACATCTACAGAGTAGAGAGAACATTTGTGTCAATGTTATTTTTCCCTGTGACTGATGTGAGGTTTAAAGACCGACGTCTCTCTTTTACAGAGAGTTTGTGTTTAAATGGTGTTTGTCCCTGGATGTATTTGAGCACTGGACAAAAGGTGCACTGAGCAGAACAGACACAGAGACACGTGTTGAAAACAGTGCAGTTAAATGTGTGAGAGAAACAGTTACCATAATAACACTCTATATAGTCCAACACACAGAAGCTCTACTTGACTGACAGGAATGTCACCACAGTTATTTCTGCTATTTACAAAAGTGCACTTGGTGAAATACAGTTTCTAAGCAGGTGTTCTACTGCAGTAGTATGAAGGAACAGAGAGTACTGGAAGTGAAGTACAACCTTGAGAGAGTCCAGCTCATCTTCAGTCAGGTTGGATCGTCTGGCAGCCTCCCACAGTTCAATCACACGAGGCTCATGAAAGTCTACAGGAGGGGGAGAAAACAACAGAGTCATGAGTAGACAAACAGTCAAAGAGACAGTCGAGACACTGAGCCACTCAGCAAACTGACTGATCAGCAGACATTGGAAGTCTAACAATTGGCAAACAATGTTAGACTTTGAAAACATATCTAAGAATTCAGCTGACTCATTAAAATGCTGAAAAAAAGAGACTACTGTAAACAACAGGGGTGACTGTTGTAGACACACTCTACACTCTTTAATCCCATAATACAGTATTAAAACAATATATAATAATATGAACAAAGTGTTGGGAGTTTGAAGAGGTTTATCTTCAACACACCCAGTCCACATGGGTCAGATATTATCCAGGTGTGAAAACTGAGCCAACAGAGCAGAGAAATAAATGATCATTTGATGTTGATGGTGTTTACACCCAAAATGTTACAGAGAAGAAACATTTGCTCATCTGTTTGATTTGGTGCTACTTCTTAAATCCTCACTAAATCTACAGCAATGACAAGAGAAGTGAGAGGAGCCAAAGTGTGTGCTGTGGTGACAGACCTGGAGGGGGGGGGAGTCAAACAGTTGGTAGTGAATTAATCAGCAGAAGTAACACTGTGTGGAGGTTCAGATTAGGAACCATGTGGCCAACTCTCCTCCACAACAGTGACTCTAAATAGCTCTGTCTTCTAAAGCAGTTTTTTTCATTTAATTTGCAGCTAAAAGCACAAAACACTTGGGTTAAAGCCATCAGTGTGTTGATGTTGCACAACTGTTATGATTCACCACAGAGTGTCCCCAGGATGTTAACGGACAGAGACTGAATGAGAAACTGGTTTTTAAACTATTTGACCCAAAGACCTCAAAAAGGCAACCATGATTACCACCAGTACCACGACGCAGATGGATTTCCTCTGATTACTTGCGTCTGTGCAGAATGTTACATTTTCTACAGATTAAGTTTTAAAATCTAAATATGTCATTTTCTGATAAAGTCAGTATTTTCTAGTTGGTTTTGTTTTGTAATTCAGCAGTGTGTACTCACCACTGTCTTCTGTAAAGCCCTCGTGGCTCAGTCTACGCAGTCGTTCGAAGCCTTGGTTGAGGTCTCTCATTTTTTGCTTCAGGTCTGTGTGTTTGTGTTGCAGCACCTGCTCTTTAGCTTCACCCTCCAGAGGAGAGATCACGTTCTTGTGGATTTCTGTGTTGAAAAAAAAAAGTAAGAGAATGAGGACGAGAGAGATAAATGGAAAATATTCTGCAGAAAAGACACTGGTAAAAAAGTGTTCACGTCACAGATTTCTTTAATCGTGTTATAGTGAATCTGCACCAGACTGAGGTGAGTCTGTCAGTAGTTATTAGTCAGTGGTCTTCAGTCATCTGTTGTAATCCTTGTTTTCTGTCTCTATGGTAACATATCTTCATATCATTTTTAAGGCTTTATCTTCGATTTCCACTAATACACTTGTTTCCCAAACACAAGTGAACTGAGCATCAGGTAGCAGTATTTTTTAAATCTTCCTTAAGATCTGCAGCAGACTTCTACAAACACTTGGTAAAGACACTGATTGCCAATCAACACAACAACACAACACAGCAGTGCCATACACTAACAGTTCTATAAAGTGTCAATCATTTCCAAAGGAGCACATGGACGTCTTTGTGAGTTAGAGTGGAGTCTGACAGCTGGGGGTGTGGGGTGTTAATGGTCACCACTGTCAGACTTCTGACACAAGATCCTTCAGTGTGAAAGTGCACAACAGAGGTGTCGCACTCACTCACAGGTAAGTTAACCATATGTTAACACAGTATGGCCAGTGATGTCCTAAAGGTCCTAGGAAAAAGTGATGAAGCCCAAGACTAACTCTAGTATATATCTCTAATTGTATACACAGAGCCTCTTGGTGTTGCTCTTTCTTGAAGGATTTTTGGCTACGTTACAGAACAGCCCCCTAGTGGCCAGTTGCTACTTTCACAGTAGCTAAATTAAAAGCAGACTTTTCTGTGAACAGGTCAAAGCCTCTGTTTCTAATGAAATAAAGAATGAATGTATATCAGGGCTCACCCTCAGTCCTGCTGATGGTGTCCATCAGAATACTGTACTCATGGATCTTGTCCTTGTGATGCTGAAACTCCCTCTTCAGGCTGAGCAGCTCCTCGTCAGAAAACTTTCCTGACCCCTTAGCCTGGTGCAGATGGTCATCAAAGAAAAGACAGAAAAGAGACAGACACACACACACACACTGAATACCACACAAGTGTAGGAATCAAAAGGACAGCACTTCAGATTGACTTTGAATTCTTTCAGCTTCTGCTCAAATATTGTCTGTTTTTTAAGTTCTTTGAAACATTTTCCCAGTTGATAAATTTGTATTTATTATTTTCTTCAGTTCTTTACTACTTTCTGAACAGACTTTTACAAACCAGGGCACAACCTTTACAAAGACATTTACCCCTCCCCCCCACAACCCCAGCCTATTCATACTAATTCCTGTGTAAATGCAGATATTTTAGGGAAACTTTACATCCAGCCACCACTAATCTGTGAGTCTGAATGTAATGGAGAAGTGACGGATCGACAGTTCTGCTAACTTGTTACTGAATCCACTGTTTCTGAGCAACATATTATGAACCTAATTGAATAATTAGACTGTACATTAGAACAATTATAAAGTTACTGAGTCCTAATCATGAGCAGTTGACAGAGCACAAAACACTGGTCCTCTGAAAATGAAAGGAAACCTCTTTGTGTCATTTAAAGACCACAGCTGATGAGATCAGAGTTAGAGTTTCTGACAATAATCCCCAGCCTTTAAAACCTTTAAACAACTTTCAGGTACAGATTTAAAAGCTCAAGATAAGGAATAATTATCTGACAGGAAGCAGACCCATCATTCCCAGTGTACTAAACCAGATCCATCATTCCCAGTGTACTAAACTAAAGCCATTATTCCCAGCAGACAAACCTTGTTCCACAGCTTGTCCAGCCTGGGGTCTTCAAACATGTCTCCTTCTCTGCTGTCGTGATCCTTCAAGGAATTACTCTCCATGGGTCGTGTGTCTCTCTTCCCATCCATCCCATACTTGGCCAAGATCACTGGAAAACACATGAAATGGAATGACTCTCTGCTCACCGTCACCTGGGGGCAGCATGTGTAGAAGCTGCGTGTACAACAACACACCCAGGAAAATAGAATGTTCTAAAAATACTTCACATGTAATTATTTTAGCATGCATACATCAAAATATAACCCAGCAGCACTCAGCTCTTGAGAGCAGCTCATTAATTCCACAGTCCCTAATGAATTAGATGATAAAAGAAACACAGGTTCATACCCAGCTCTTGATTTGTTTCTTTTTTATATATTTTATTTCTATTTTTATTTATTTTATTAAGGTTTTACAAAGACCAACAGAACCACACTCAAACAAACCAGAACAATCAGGTCACCAGGGGAAATAAATAATTTTCACAAAAAGAAAAGAAACATACAGTAATATTGTTCCATATAATACAGTGTTACAGAAATCCATGGGAGAGACGTGAAGAAGGGAGGCAGCACCATCAGAACATCGGTCACAGCACTGGTAATGGCAGCACAAAATGAAAAAGAAAGACAGAAACTACTCTATCGTGTATTCTCATTCAAATAGAGAAGCCATTTGGACCAATACCTCTGGACTTTACAACGCTTCAATCTCACAGAGAAAGCAAACATCTCCATTTCATGTATTTCTTCTACAGTGGCTGACCATTCTCCCCTGGTGGCAGCTCCCTGTTGAGCCATTTCCTTTGTTATTGATTTCTCACCGTCTACCAAAATCTTAAGGAAGTATATTTCCTGAGAGTTCAGATAAATAAGTAAATTACACTAATATGCAGTTTAGAAATTACTCTCAGTGTTAAAACCAAGAATTGAACTTATTTCTTTAACTACATCCAGCAAGACCAAAAACCAAAAGATGTGACAGTGGTCAGCCATCACTTTATTACAATGTCTCCAACACCGTCCAGACTCTGCCACTGTAGAAATGTTCTACTTGGAGCAATAAGAAACAACTTTCTTCCAGGTGAATTCTCTCTAATGGCTTGAGCCGGATGTGGTGAAGTTTATTTTGCATATGTATAGCCCCTTATCTTCTGTTGCTTCCTTCTCCTGAAATGTCTAGTAATTAATGTATTTAAGGGGGTAGTAGGAAATACGGTGATTCAAATAAAATCTAATGGAGTTTGAGGAATAGTTACAACTGTTATTGTGTTAAACTGGGGTGGGGGGTCAGGGGTGGGTTGTTGACAATTTGTGCACTCACAAGGAGTAGGAAGTTCTTAGACTATCTCTATTGACCCTGACACCAGCAATGACTTGGGGTCAGGGTCAAAAGCTTACCAATAGATGTAAAGTTAGCAAGTGCCATCACACAGATGAAGAAGACAATTTGGGTTTGGATCAAATTTGTCAAAATGAAAGTATGAGATACACCATATAAGGGAGGGTGTCATTGTGTCCCAACATTTTTAGCCACAACAACAAAACACCAAATTGGACTGTGAAATTCAACACTTGCTTGTTCCTGTTGTGTTTCCTCCCTCCAGTTCACTGTTATTACAGCAGCTGAGTCAGCATCATCCCAACACTATGAGTGTGCTACTGTGTCACTTATTAACCACTAGTCTCTCATTAGGAGAGGGTTCAGCTGCAGGACTCTTGTTTAAAGTCCCTGTAAACTTTGTAAGGGCTTGAGATGGTCTACTCTGCAGTACTGCTGGCCTTGTACCATCGATTTCATATTTTATAGATGCTGAGGTTCAAGAGCCTGCAATCTGCAGTCAGTGCAGAATAAGTACAAAGTTTACATCACCACAAACAAAAATGTGCCTGGATTTCTGTCTCTGAAATCCAAAGAGACTTGGATTAAAAAGACACAGAGTCAATAGCACTCTGATTCAGATAGGAGACAGTAAAGGGAGCACGGGGCACTACTTAAAGATTTATATCTAGCATATAGGTGAGAAGAAAGTTCCTGCTGTTCAAATGTCATTTTTTATAGAGAACCAGGAAGGAGAAGAGTCCAGAGCGAGGGGACAGTCACAAGGACAGAACACCATCAGCTACTGCTACCTGAATGCTAAAGAGGCTGGTGACCATGGATGGATTACTGCCTCCTGGAGCTGCAGGGAGGATCTCAACACGCAGCCAAAGACCAGCCGCAGGGTGTAATCCTGATTTGATTAAGTATTTAATTGTCTAATTGTGTCTGCCTCGACCTTTTATAATCAGAAGACACAGCAGGGACATGATTTGACCCTCAATCCTCTAAGACTGTGATAAATGTCATATTTATACAGTGTTCTTATCCATGTTTCCCATTTAAATTTATGCAAATAATCCAAATTAGCTTTTTTTTAATAAAACAAATACTTTCTTCATTGAAGCGATATTTCTAGTTTTGATGAATATTAATGCTTTGCCCATGTTTAATTTAATTGACATAATGATGCTAGACCTAATTTAATCTGTAAGCATTAGCATGCAGCTCCCATTATTCTTGAAATAGACATTCTGTAAACATTCATTACCAACCTTGACAGGGATGAGAAATTACATTTCTTCTGGGACTCGAGTGGATGATTAGACAGTTGTATGCTCTCAGGCAAATCACAGCATTTATTTTACAAGCCAATTTGTCACCATAAAGGTTTTATGAGTGTGTTATATTAATTACTTGTCAATATCACAAAAACCAACACCGAGTGTGGTTGTCCAGATCTGTGCTCAAATATTTACAGGTGAAATCATTTATAAAGTAAATTAGGTGAAAGTGTAGCTGACACATTAGCATATTCACCTCTGTAGAGAAGATTGACTCACCGTTAAAGTTTCGTCTGAGCTGAGCCTCTTTCTCTCCATTTTCATCCAACCCCTCCACCTTTATCTTCTTCCACTGCAGCTCGTCCTTTTCCTGGATCTTTAGGTCACTGTGCAGTTCTGCTTGACGCACAGGAGACATCTGCATCTGTGAGAGCCAAAAGCAGGAGACAATATGATGTAAACAGAATGAAACAATAGTTATCCATGCTTACAATTACCAATGCTATTTCAATACATGATGTTATATCATGTTATATCATATTATATACATGATGGTAATGGACAGCAGGCGCTGCTGTCCATTACCATCATGGTACAGATGTATTGACAACATGTAACCAGTGTAACAAATGTTACAATATAAATACAACTTCAAGTTGTAGTCTATGCTCACTGTAAACTATATTTTAACCAAAATTCAATGACATTGATAGACTTCTGTTTGGATAACTGGTTGTTCAGGATAAAAATACTTATATCAGTCATATCAAATGTCTGGTTAATATTCGGGGTCTAAGGTCAGTTCATGGCTTGGCCAACAGAAGAAAGCTGATTCAAATTAATGTTATAAGAATAAATTGGCAAGAAAACATACAAAACAATCGATTTGAAAGACGTTTCGGAAGTAATTGAAGTAAAAAAACAAGTTGGAGCTCCCCTTCCTTGTTTACTTCTATTCGCGCAAAGTAACTTTTAAAAGGTTTAAGAGCTACCTCCGGGGCTTCATTTTCCCATAGGAATAGCTATTTCTAATTAAACAGGTGGACAAGATGTGTAAACGAACGTTAGACACGTTGTGAGTCGTGTAGTAAATTGTCTACACGATTCATAGCGTGTCTATCGTTTACGCAGCATGTCCGCCTGGTTAATTGCCAGTGATTTAGAACAGGTTGAGTGTTTGTTTTCACGGATAAACATCTTGTTCTGTTCATTTATAAAACTACAAAAACACAGCCACTAACGTCACGTCCGCGTCGATAGCGAAGTATGACATGGTACTCACTCGTTTAGCTTTCTCCCACACCTGGTTAAGTTTTCCTATCCTAAACTCCACCGTTACTCCATCACTGCTACCCGGTTTAGGCTCGTTAACTTCCCGAGAGTATTTTCCTGCCATGGCAGCAGCGTTGAGACACAGTACAACTATTAAACACTGGAGCTGCATTTTTGCATTTAACATGAAACAAAACAACGACGGTAAAAAATAAATAGCTAGCCAAACTGTTAGCAAAACCAGCCTAAAACAGCGTCCGTTGTTGCAGCTGAGTGTACCACATGGGTCATGTGCTCAAAAGAGGGGGTGCGCACGCGCGAGAACTGCTTTTAGGGAAATGTAGTTTAAAACTACAACTGTTGCAGTATCCACAAAAGGCAGAGCTCTTTCTGGAACTACAGACCCAGGAAAGGCAGTACTGCATTGTCTCCTGGCAACTACAGCGAAATATGGGAGCAAATAGAAAAGCTCCACGGATGTTTGTGACCTGGATTACTCAACACGATGATGACGATGATGAAAATAAAGATTTACAGGAAAAACAACACTTTCATTACATTTATTGACATATTCCTATGGCTGTGAAAGCTCTTTCTTTTGAGTCTTTCTCTGTTATGAATATGAACAAAATAAAGAAAAAACATACAAACACAGTTAGACAGATAGATGAATGACAGATAGATGAGAAGGGTTTGGGTTAGGGTTATTAAAAATAACCATTAATATTGTTCGGCACATCAGGTCAGCCAACCCTATTATATTAGGAGCTTTATTAAAATCTTTTAATATTCCATCTCCTGACTTGGCTGCTTTGACAAACAAAAATCCATATGAATCCTCGCCAATCCTCTCCAATAAGTGAACTAAATCCACTTACACTATATTAAAGCCAGAGAGAGAGACAAGCAGAAGGAAGAGAGATGGACAGTTAGACAGAACAGAGCTATACTCTCCGCCCATTGCTCTTATAATAATGTTTTAGAACGTTATTGTCCATAAATCACATTCCACTGAAAGTGCACTGTATTGAATTGAATTGAGGGGGGGAGTATGGGGAGGGTGAAATTGAAAAATGGACAGGAAAAGAGTTCAATTTAAGAAACGCTCAGCAGAAGTTTCAAACAAATTACCCAATAACCTCTGTGCACCATAGTATGTTCACAAGTACATTGTGTGTGTTTTCAACATGACTTTAATGAGAGTGGAATTTGGAAAACTAGCAGCTAGATGATTTATCATTTCAAAATAAGTGCACATGTTTAAATATAATAATATATTGATAATATATTGCAGTATATACAGTATATAGAATGGAGTGGGTGAAGACGAGTGTCAGGGAAGGGAGTGTTTACTGTTTAGTAATTTAGCAGCTTCGCTTGCAACACAGATGCTGACATTTTCCTAGTGAGTGACCAGGAAGAACATCATTAGAACAGAAAAAAATCTGAGGAAGCGCCAAGGCTTGTTGAGTGTTGATAACCTGTAGTAACATTTAGGTCAAACTTTACTCTTTGGTAAAGGTTATCTTTTTATTGTTTGTAAGTCTTTGGGTAGCTCTTAGCTAACCTCAATTTGTGTTCTAAATTTAGAGTATCGTAAATATTTCTTGTTAACCTTTGATTTTATTGTGTGGTTGGTGACTCTTTTTTAGAGGATTCTTACTGTGTTGTTAAACCTCTGAACATTTTCTTCTACCTACTCCCTCCATATCAAACTTTTAACAAAATGTCTGAAATGTCAGAGCCCCAAGACATTACTATAGTCTGAATACATTTGTAATTGAACAAAAACACTTGGAAAGAAAAATGCTGTGCATTTATAAAGTCAATAGTACAAGAAGAAGAAAAGGAATCAGCTGCATTAGTCATTGCATATACACAGCTAATATGGTCGCCTGCATTTACCTATCCCTGGGGGGCAGTGGACCCTCCCAGGAGCAGCCACACAACACAACCAGCAATCCTCCAACAACAAGAACATTCTTCTTACCACTAGACTAACTGTTCTCCAAAGACGTGCACGAGGATTCAACATTAGAAAATCGAACTTCATTGGGATTCATAGCATGAAAACGTAGCACGTTTACATGTTGAGGAAAAAGAAGCTTTATAGGATTGACTCTGTAGAATCACAGTACAACACTGCCCTGCACTCTGGAACAAAGTCTGTGGGCTTGACAGAGCAAAATGGATGAAATGCTAGGTGATATTTGGGTTTTGATTGAGAATGTGACTCTGCTCAAAGGTGTGTGTCAGTCAGTGAAGTTTACCCATGACTGATGATAACACCAGGGTTGAACTGCTCTCTTCTAAAGTCAGAGCCGAGAAAGAAATGAGTTCAGAGTGAGAGGCTGGGCCACACAAAAGTGCCCACAAAATGACTGCTACATAAACCATGTTTGATGACAACATCAGTTTGCCTCCCGTTGGCCTCTGTTATTTGGACAGAGAGAAATTGGACGCAGTGGTGTATGAGAGCGGTGACACCAAGACAAAAGAGCAAAACAGACTGCGGCTGTGGAAAAGGGAGAGAACAAGGAGGTATGAATGAAAAAAAGAAAAAAGAAATAGTCATTTCATTGTGTGGTGGGCGTATAATAAAATCAAGCTTATCCTCAATCACTGGCTATAAACAAACATAGCCATTATGACCAAGTGATTGCAATAAACAGGCATTGATCATCTCATTACTTGTGCTTACTTGTGCTTAATTTAACTGCATGGAACAAGAGCAGCAGACATCACATTAACCTGGACGACTCTCAGCCTGAATTAGCTCTTCACTAATGGAACCGCACCGTTTCAGAGAAGCACCAGAAGCTTTTTCAACCTGGGGTACTTCAACCTAGGTGGCCAGTGTCTCTACAGCACACAAGAATTCCATTTTATGTATTTTTGAGGTCAGTGGCACAAACCTCTCAAGTCTCAATTAAAGTTTAACGTCTTTTAATTAGTCTACATACTCTACGGTGACTGTTCAGAAGACAGAAAAAAACCCGCATAATTTTAACATGATTTATGTTGTTAGTAAAATGTAATTTTCTCTGTAACAATAAAAAAGTACAACAAAAACCTAAAGGAAAACTTAAGAAAACTACAAGAAATTAAAACTAATGAGACTAATTTGCCAACGAAATACAAAAGATTCACAACAATAGTTTTTATATTTATCTATTTATCAGTGGAAACATATTTACTTAAAAAGTTAATTTTCTTAATCTAAAAATGTAGGGTAATTACAGTCCTCCTGGGAGACAGCTGCTGGTACTGTATGAAGGAGGTCCTGGGACTAATGTTGGTTTTATTCTTCACATTTATGTTCCATGTAACTACGGTTGCCTTTTTTTAAATGACCAGTTTAGTAAATGGTGGGGAGAGGGTCACAAATATGGATGTCCAATACAGAAAGCAATCTGAGCTGACCATGGTGCTGATTTCACCTTCATCTTCTTTCTGCTTTAAGCAAATCAGTTCATTTGTTTTTTCCATAAACAAAGTTAAATAAATGAAGCGTACACAGTCAGTTAGAGCAGCTAGCTCCTGAAGAATGCTGCAAAACCTGTGGACAAGATAAGCCTGGTAGTACTAATCATGTGGACTTTGTCGTCTTTCCCTCTACCTACAGCAGATATTTGGTGGTATATTCAGGTTCATGTGGCCTGAAAAAAAAAACGTTCCTATCTCTTCAATGATGTCTGCAGTGGAGACTTTTAAGGTTTCAAGTCTTTGATGTAAGTTCAAGTGAAACATGTGAACGTGAGATTGACTTTGTACCACCTGGAGTGGAGAGATATGACTTTCAGAGCTAAAAGTTGAGAAAGTCTGTCATTTTGGTCCATTATAACCTGCACGGCCAAATTCACAATGTTCTTGTGAGGATGACTGACTGTGAAAGAGTGCCTTAATGTAAACTAAACACAGTGTAATGTCTGTGCTATTATGAACAGGTCAGATTGATAGGACACTTTAATATGCATGACTTTTAAAACTAATCTTTCAATTACATTAGACGTTCGAAGGCTTTAACTCCAAATTAATTCTGCCTATTAAAGGTTGATTACGGGGTGTCAGGGTGGTGCAGTGTCTATCACTGTCGCCTCACAGCAAATTCACTGAACTGTGTCCAAAATCTATAACAGCCTTGCCTTGTGACATTTTCTCTGAGTGTGAAATGAAAACTTCCAAAAAAATCACTGTACATTGAAGACCCCAACCTGCTGTACGAGGCGGTGCCCCATCTTTGGCTTTGTTTCCTCTGGGATTGGTGTGAGGTCTCTGCATGACCTTTTCACAGGGCAGAGAGAAATCAAAGATGAATGGTTGGGTTAAAAGCTGGTGAATCTGGTCTACTGGAAGAATTCTATTTTAAATTCACTCAAGTAGAAAGACCGTTCATTCTAATCTGAGATGACATGGCTGAGGTGTCGCTAATAGAGTGTGTAATATCATGCACAGTCCCAGTAGTAATACTGTATGAACCTCTGCCCTACGCTCTATTCCAGTGAAGCTGCACAGAATCATTTGGTTGATCCACAGCCTGCTGATGATGCAGTTTCTTCCTTTTTCACTGTCATTCCTCATACCCACATTCACACCAAAGGGACAATCTGTGGGAGTTTGCTATTATCTTCCTATGTATTCAATATAAAACTCATATACAAAAGACAAAAAATAATGAAAAGTTTCTCAACACAGCAGCTTCAGGGAGAGACTGATATAGAAGAAAATACATAGAGGAAGACAGGCAGATACTCAATGTTCAAGGTTTTTATCAGCAGTATAGTTAAACAATAGTTCCATCTGTGACCTCACATTATAGCTAGTTTAGTTACTAACACAGACTGTGGCCAAACCGCATTTTTGAGGAGCATGAGACGGATGTTACAGGAGTTAAAAGGTCAAAGCAGATCGTCAGGTAACAGTAGAGACAATCATTCATTACAGGTCAAAATGATACACAGGCCAGAGCAGAGGAACAAAAGGTTTGATGTCAAGAGAAACGGATCTGAATGCCTCACCAACACAAGGTCAAACTTATTCACCACAGCACTGTTTAAATGTCAGAGCTCTGACTTCTCTTCAGGCAAGTCTGATTCTCTCACTGTGAAAACAGATGGGATTTAAAAAATGTTTAAATCCTATGTATAATTTAAAAAATATATACATATATTTATATGTATATATTGTTATATATATAAATAATCCAACTACCACTGAAGCTGCCGGCAACAATGAACGGACTCAAGCACCTCCCAGTGCATTTCGGGACCCACAACAACATGACAACATATTGTTGAGTTTGAATTAAATTGAACGGAACCATGACACAGGAAACCACACGATGTCGTCTCTTAAATGATTCAAGATTCAAGATTCAACTATAAACATTGACAGCACTGACTGTGACCGGTACTTAGTCAAGTGGATGTAGAACTGATTTCCAACATGAATAGGTTGAATCCCACTGGTCTGGACCAGAATTAGATGTGATAAGTCAAACATTACATTTCTAACACACATAAATATATTTGGCTGACCAAAATTATAGTTGTCATGAAGACTTAATATTGTTGTTTTAAAACCTTTTAAAACCTTGGACACTGTCTTAGTTTCAAGTGTCATTTAAAAGAATAGAGTTGTAATTAATACGTTTTGACAAATACACAAGTGCTACTTTAAAAAAAACTGTAACTTCACCAAAAACCTCTAGTGGCATTGAACAAGGAAAATAAAATGATATTATTTGACCCTCTGCACTCCCTGTGCTATAGCTACCTCTCGCCTAAGGGGGGGGGGGGGGGGGGGGGGGGACTCTCACTCTGGGAACCTTTATAGTAAAATGCAGAGTCATACACAGAGCAAGTACTCCTAAAGCATGGACAAAAATGTGACAGTATATTCAAAATAAGGTCAGCATGTGGCTTCTTAGACCATACCTGATGAAGTACTGCATCATCAGGCGTTCCTTTTCCTTCCAGACAGCTCTGAATTCATGTTTTGCCAGCTTTCCTGCAAAAGAAACATTTTAAAAGATTATTTACAGAAAAAGAAAAATGAATCTGCAGAAAGTAAACAGTTTTGGCCACTGAAGCTGTTTATAAGACAGGACTTAAATATGAATCACATTAGTGTTCCCTTTAGTAGAAAAAGGTTAGACCGTGTGGACTCACTGCATCACTCTGATATATTTATTCCCATCAGATATTTGTGAAGTAATCTAATCAAATATACAGCAGTGCTTTTGGGAAATCTGACTCTCTAGTTTGGCTGTTTGTGTGTTGGTGAACGTGTGAGAGTGTGTGTTTGTTAGAGTTAGAGAGAGAGAGAGAGAGTTAGAGAGAGAGAGAGAGTTAGAGAGAGAGAGACGGTGGATTCAATATTCATTAAAGGTTCTCAGTCTGCTGACCTTTTCCCTTCTCCATCCCTCAGTCCATGCTTCATTTGATTCAATAAGAGACTTTAATTTTCGAAGCAAACCCTCACTTACACATTAATTCCCCCGAGGTATTGCTTTGTGTACAAAGAGGCAATAGAAACGAAGAGAAAGATATAGATCAGATGGGAGGAGAGGAAGATGACAGTGAAGCAGTGGGGGGGGGGAGGGGAGGTTTTTCCTGCAGGGATATTTTTAAAACCTGTCATTTTATGACTTAAAGAAGGAGAAGACACCAGTTGTTTGTCTGTTAATACGATGCTTGACAATAAGCCGCGCCTCAGTTTTTAATCTCCTCAGAAAGAGCAGATAAAAACCATCTGAAACATAAGGAAGAAGGAACTTCTTATATATGTGTGGTGAATGTTAACAAAGAATTAGCTTTGGTTTGAGCCTCATGATGGTTGATGGTGGTATTTGGCTTCTGTTGTGTAGGCGGTGGCCTCAGCTCATCATGAAAGGCAGAGACACACGTGCTGACCAGGCCCCTGTGGGTAAAGGACACAACAAAGCGGAGGAACAGACAAACACAGTGCTGTGGTTTCAGTGATGGTTTCTCTGAAAGATGGTGATTGTCCACAGAAATCTATTTCTCAAAGGCCAGCTGAGGCCTGGGGGGATCCAAAGACACACCGCTGAAAATGTGGCTTCTCTTGTTACTTCCCAGAGCCAGAGGATTGTGTTGAAGAGAAGCCAAAACTCCTCAGCACAGACTGACTCTTGTTCATCTGTGTATGATGTTGGTGTGAATACAGAGGTAAATATTTTTTATAAATAAATATTTACTTACTCTCATGAATGAAAAATCTAAATATGTAAGGTTTAAAAAAAGCTTCCTATAAACTTCAGAATTGTAAAAGAAGGTTTTCAGGATGTTTGCCATTCCCCAAATTTCAACACCAGAAACAAACAGACCTCTGGTACCACCACAGGGACACCATACCATAGATTGACAAGCATTATCCCTTGTGGATTTAAAACAATGTGGTTGAAACTCATGTCGTTGCATCACTTCTCAGATGTGACGTGTAGAAAGTGTTCTATTTGTGTACAAATGCCTTGGATTACAGTGGAACCACGTACATCGACACTGATCCACTGTTATCAACGCCACACTGACACGTTGTGTTCCCTCATGTTGGTTTTCACCACTTTATCTTCAGCTGTGCACAATAAATGCAGTGTGACAGATCTGATGAATCAAACCGTGATTGAAAACATTTCCTTTTCTGTTCACGACACATTTGTAACTCGCCGTGAAATTTAACGCGCAGCGTCAGTTTCATGGTCGTTTTGTCAGATAAATGTCACATTAAAGTTTTATGAGAAAAAGGCAGATTTAAATCCCTGATGTGACCTGATCCCTGCCACCTGCACAGACGTATCTTGACAGAGGAATCTTAAGGCATCAGGGAAAAGCTCCAGAACTCTGGTGCGGAGGAATTAGGTTCTGTTTACCACAGTAATGAATATAAATGAACACACGGGAGCAGAAAATATAATGAAAGCTCCTGGAGCTGGCAGCAGTCAGAGGGACAACAATCGAGGGTTTGTTGCTTTAAGGTGTTCTCTGAAGAGTCGCTGGGAGACAGAGACATGAGACAGCAGGAGAGGGTAGCTGGTCACGATAAAAAACACTGTTGAAAAATACTTGATTATTATTGTACTGTATGTTGTTGTAGTTGTTCTGCAGGTTCCTGAATTCAGATTCAGTTTTTACCTGTCCTTGTTATATGCCAGTTTTTAGGTTTCTTACATAACACTTTTGTAAAGATTTACATTTTTTGTTTTAAGATATTAGTGACAGAGGTTTTGTTAGGATTTAATCATTTTATATTCAGTTCTCTTGTTTGTGTTGACCAATGACTTTGAAAATCTGTTATACAAGATTTTTTTTCTTTTTCAAGCACAATAGAGAAATTCAAGGTTGTTTTTCAACAGTTTTCAAGGTGTTGACAGATGGAATTATTCTTAACAAAACACTTCACTATTATGTTTAAAAAAGAGAAAAAGATGAAAAGAAAAGAAAGAAGAAACTCAACGCAAATTGTCACAGATTTGTATCAATTTTGAACTGTTTTACGATGCATCGTTACATCCCTAGTCGTAGGCCAAACAGAATGAACATTTACTGGACAGTGTACTGCTGACAGAGCTTTAACTGCTGCATCATCAGTGGCTGTAACTTTGGTAATTCATGTATTTTTCGACCTGTTTAACAGGACTGTTTAACTGTCCAGGGATAGTGTTCCCAAATTAGCCACAGCTGGAAATGCTAAACACGACATGTATTTAACCTAGAGAGCAACGTTCACTTAATTAAATTCTGCTAATCCCTAATATCTGTGCACTCTGATGATAAAAATAGTGTTTTTTTTATTGGAACATTAGGAGGTTTTTCCTGACAGTAAAGGCAAAAGAGAGCAAAAGCTTTTGGTGTAAATTCACAGCAGACATTGATGCATCATCATCATCGTCATCACATCATGACTAAGGCCAACATCCATCAAAACTGAAGGAAAAACAGGAAAATCGAAAACATTGTAAATAAGCAGAACTTGATTCACCCTGGGCTTCTAGGTCAGGTGGGTGTAAAGAAGAAGAGAAAAGAAAGAAAAAAGTGATGGGGAGAATAAAGAAAGACCACTAGGCAGTGTGTGAGGTTTGAGGTAGTTCAGAAAAACTGATTTGATTTCGACCTCGACTTCAGCAGCAATAAAATCTGGATTTACTGTTTGCTTATGCACATTCAGAAAATGCCTGGAGAGCAGAATTGTTTTACTAAAAAATATTTCTTCTTTTTTCAGAGCAGCTCTACAGCAGTGGGCGTCTGTCTACCTTTGTTCAACCTTTTTCCTACATGTGTTATTCAGACAAGATGATAAAAAAGTGAATTGTTTCAGTGAGACACAGTTAACTTCACATAAAAATGGTCATAAAACAATGTTAATGTTTGACTCTATTACACATAACAGAGCTGCACTCTGATCTGATGCGGAGGACCCAAATGCAGTACCTAAACAATTCAGTCCTTAGTCCAGACTTAGACCAGGATTTTATGATGGAAACACCACTGAAGAAGAGAGCAGACGGACACACGGAGGAGAAACGGATGCTTCAAAGGTCAGTCGTGCAGAAGAATGAATAGTTTGGTATTTATAATGTAATGCTTTAATGGTTACGATCTATTATCTTCTACATACTGATCTTGAGAAGCACTGAAAGTATTTCCATGAATACATGAGCAGGCACAGAAACAGACACAATGGCTGCTCCCTGGCTCCACCTGGTTCTCATTCTCCCCCACTAATCAAAGCAAAGCTGATTAAGTCTGACCTGTCATGGACCCTGACAAAACAAGTGCTCATCATCATTCCAACGTGTCTGACTAACACTGTGGCAGCTCACATTTCAAAACAAATGACCAAGCACCAGCAACACCTACAGTACGACTGTTGATCCAGTGTCGGGCCGAGACTGTACAATAACAGGAGGAACTCATGAACCAGTGTAAAAACACTCCAGGGTTTGACTGCTCAACTGACTGGACAACTGACTGGACAACTGACCACTACCTCCTAAACCCCATGTATTCTTCATGTAGACCAATGAGAACAGGATTAAATACTAGGGGTCTGAGAAACCTTTGATTGGTTGAAATATTGCCTTATATCATTTCACAATATCGTATCGATATTCAACAGCATTGTAGTGATTTTTTAGTAACAATTAACATAGCAAATACAAATATAAATATCTCTGTTCCAAATTCAGTAACCTAACATTAGGCATGTAACAACATTGTGTGTTTACTGTGCTGACAGTTTTCTTACAATTAAATTGTTTAAAAAAACCTCAATAAATGCTCATGCCTATGGTATTGCAGTATATCACAATATATTGTATCATTGCCCTGTATCGTGTATACATATCGTATCCCCAGATTCTTGCCAACATTCACCCCACTCAATACCTTTGAGCCTAGTATATTAACACATACCACATTTGTGAACATTTTTGGCTGAATTAAACTAATTTTATGTAAGTACTATACTATAGAAACTATAAGTACTACAATTGTCCAAAACACCTCCAATTAAACTGTGTTTGTTTTTAACCTGCAGTTCATTGTTTGGCCTTCTCTTCGCCACTTTGACAGGTGTAAAACCTTCTGTTCTTCTCTATTCTAAGTCTTTCTATCTTGGATTTCTGGTCTGCTCTTCCACCACTGCCCCCAGAGTCCAACTTAACTTAACTCATGCTGAGTAGACAGAAAGTACTGTATATGCTGATCCACTGTAATGTGCTCCATCCATCCCTGCATGCGTGTGTGTGTATTTAAGTGTGTGCTGGACGAGTGATTATGTGGCACTGAGAGTGAGAACCATAAAAAGAGAAGTACAGTAACTGCAAAATTGGTGAATTTCTGAGATGAATGGAGGAATGGGAGTTCATTCAGTTCCATGAGGAAACCATTTCCACAGCTGAGGCTCCTGACTGAAACACACTGCTGTTTGAAACATTTCTCATTTCCATCCTCCCTGCTGTACATGATGTAAAATTAACGCAGTGCTTTGTTTCCTTAGCTCTTCTACAAAAATCAATGCTTGTTTGTCAGCTCAAAAGAATTTTCATTAGGTATGCATGTGTGTGTGTGTTCCCTCTGAGACACCTTGCATTTATTTCACCCTTCTTTTACCGCCTTTTGTTCGTTGCCATTTGGTGTAATAGCTGCTGTATCCTTGACAGGTTTCTTCTCACAGGTCTGAAAATTAATTAGCAGCCACAGTGTAACACATGAATCCTCAGTGCTTTGGCTAAACTCCAGCTGCACCATTCCCTGACCCAATGATGAAATCAACTGTTTTAATGAATCGCTGACACTTAGCTGGGTGAAATCAAGGCAAGAACAGCAGGAGAACAGGGAAGAAAAATCTGTGTAGTAAAGACTGTGTAAAGAAAATGGACAGAGCTCTGGAGGAGGGAAGCAATGAACCAGGAAATAGGCTTAAAGTAGCCATGTTGGTTGTAGATATATTGACAGTGAGGATTTCTAGGCTATTCCTCCTCACATTCCCTGGTAGGTTAAGAGTCTAACCTTGTAGTTTCAGTTTTAAAAAATTCTCTCTCAGAAAAATCAATGTTCCTGCAGTGAGTTGTAGCTCTCAGTATCAGCCATCACTCTGCCATCTACAGGAGAAAGGCCTGTTGGTTCTTTACACAACCTCTGGATGCAAGATGATTCAATTAAACTGCTTTAAATTAGGTGACGCAAAGTTATGAAACAGTAGGTGTGAATCTGTGGACTTCAGTGGGCGGGGGTATCAACATGTGGAGTGTCACACATTAACAGGTCAACAGGAGTCTTGTTATTTACCTTGCACTAAGTTTTCAGCAGATGTCCTTCCCAGATACCAGTTTCCACTTGCAAGCTGATTGGGATGTTGTTTAAGCCTGCCAGTAAACCAGCCCCACGAGGAAGGCACAGACACAGATTGTCACTCTGAAAAAAATAAAATAAAAAGGTTTAAGTATATAAAATATATCTGGAATTGGAAATCTACAGCTGGAGTCTGTTTGGTTTAAAATCTCTCAAGAAACAAAATAGCCATGATTAAATTGAAAATGGTACTGGCAGTTTCTAAAGTACCACTCTGCACAACGTGCCAGCAGAAAGAATGGAGCGGTGGAAGAGGAGGAGATGGAGAAAGAAGAAGAGGAGGAGGAGGTGGAGGTCATGGAAAAGGCACATTGTGAAAAATACCCATACGTCTGTGCTGAGTTATATAGTGTCACTGACAAGTTAATGTATTTTTACCACAGTCTGACACCTGCCAGAAAAGTCTGATGCACATACTATAAGAACTGTCCAGCCCTTAGAGTAACTGTCTGTTAGACAACTAAAAAATACTGTCACACAACAACCAGTGTTAAAGGACCAGGCCTTTAACTGTTTTAATCCCAGATGATTTTAATCCCGGGATCAATGATTGATTGATGATCAATGATGATTTAATGCTGAGAATTCTTTAAAGGTTTCCTTGGTGAGCATATCTCACCATCTCAATAACAACATGGTTATTTTCAAAGAATTACTCAGGATGGTGACCTCTGGCGACCTTCCTTTGGTTTCCTTCCTCTGTATAAGATGCAGTCGTTTGATGAGAGTGGGGTCGTAATAATGGAACAAGCTAAAGCGCAGACATGGATTTAAAGAGAAAAAGCCGACAAAGAGATAAGATGGATTCAAAGCTGAGGGTTCATGTCCTTGGATCGCTCTTTAGCCTTTTCTCCCTGTGGGGTTTGTAGGACAGAAAGGTGGAAAATACGGTCTTAACAGAAAGAGATATTGGTTCAGGTCCCAAGAGGAATTAAATTTCAAGCCTAAAGCTTTAGATCTTCGGCCATTATCTATAAAAATAAAGATTGTTTTGGGTTGAGTTTCAGTTGTGTGTTGGTGACCTTAAAGACAGACAACCATTCCCACTAAACCTCACACATGTGCACTCACCATCCTGCCACTGTTCTAATTAATGCCTTTAACCTTCACTTGAACACAGCTATGTTTTATTACCATCTCTAACCACAGGGTCAGATATGAAGTTCTGCCTTGTTAGACTCAAACTCCAGTTTTAATGAGTTCCACCACTTTGGTTCATCTTCCTGTTCCTGAAACACTTTCCCCTTGAAGCTCATTATGGCACTTTGTTATCAGAGACAGGAATGAAACGTTGATGTGATCGCCTCACACAGTCTTTCATGCAGTCACATTAATGACCTACTGAAGCAAGACCCTAACAAAACTTGTGCTTTGCTCTTCTAACTTTGGATTGTGTCAGTTGTGCAGCTGTGTCACACAGTAACACTTCTTTGAACGTGTTCACTGCGTGTCTCTACAGACAGCCATTAAAAAGCCATTAGTGCTGCAGCAGCAGGGATGTTCTTGGGGTGAAACAGAAGAGTTTCGTCCTGTAAATGATGTTTGTTAAATTGCTGGAGGGAATGGTTCTGTTACTGTAGCTTTGATTCATACTGGTGACCAATGAGGAAGGTGAACTCTCCTCTCTGTCTGTTTGAGAGACAATAATGGTCTGCTCACTCAGTTTAGTTTGTGTCTCCAGTCATCGTAGACTGTCCTATACTACCACTGCTCCCTGTGTAAGTATCCTCCAGTTACTTCACTCAAACTCGACAGTTGGAACTCTGCCATGTTCAACCCTAAAGACAGCTACTCCTTTAGCTCAGCGCTAACTGACCTTCAGTTATATTAGGTGAACACTTGAGGCACTAGAAGAATGTTGCCATCTGTAACAATGCAGACAGTCAGTGAGGTCATAAAACATTGGTTAGTTTGTATGTGAACAACAAAGTAATGTTGAACTAACAGAGTCAACTGCAGTACTAAGCACTTTCTACTGGAGCTTCTTCTTCTTGTGACCAATCACAAATGTCACCCGTTGTTCACAATAAAAACAATACATTTGAAGAGAAGACTTTTAAAGTCAGTTATACAAACACAGGCATTTAACTGATTTTTTTTTAAAGAATTCCACCTTACATAAATAGACCAAAAATAATCGAATGAAAAAGTTTCCTCCTGATTTGATTTCTCAACACGATGAGTCACATGGACAGAAGGCTTGCACATCTAAATCTGTAAAACTGTCAGCTGGCCTGGCCAAATGTCACGTGGCAGACTTTGGTGAAACTGAAGTCTGAAATGTTGTGTTTCATGTCCAAACACTGAATAATCAGTGTTCTACAGCGTTGTAATGTTTTTGCCTTTGACGGAACACATTTTTCTGCTCTTATGTAAATGACTTACATACCGAGTTAACAGCTGGTTATAATAATGCTCTGTGTTACTATAACTAAATTCCAGATTTTGTCAGATTATATGTGATCTACTCAGTTGTTAAAACTATAGACAGACACAGTGAGGTACTAATATAAAGGTTCCCTCTACTGTAACAGTAGTGGAGAGAAGTCAGAATGTGAATACCTATAGTATTGTAAAGATGAGGGTAGAAACGCTGCGGTGAATCAGTTCAGACACGTGTTGAAGAGACAGCTGACTAGAACAAATCTGCAGTTTGAATAATTCTGTAAAAAAAACTCTGCTCAGACAAATCACTTTGGTTCAGTTTTGGGCCTCTGCCCTCCAGCAGTACAAGCTTCTGCCAGGAATGATTAGAGACACTCTTGACTTATGTTCTCCCTCTCAAACAACTCCATCAGCAACTTTGTTTAAGCATCGCGTCAAGAAAGTATGACGAGTCAACATTTTTGCAGGAATTGCTGACATTTACTGGAAACTAAGTCACCTCTGCTGGGAGAAAAAATGAAGTTGTCAGCCTGCTGTGCAGGCACCGCCAGGAGACTTTTTACCTCTGAAAACACAGCATCAACTCAAGCCTCTTGGTTTCTCACCTTCACCTTGTTTTGTGGACACAACAAGTTACAGTCAGTTTGTCTCTGTGACTTCTTGAAGTGGGGTCAACAGAAGCAGCCGAATCGTTCTGCTCAGTTCCATTCTGTGAAAGAAGAGAGTCACCTCTGAACCCGTGTGTCTCAGCTCTACACAGCAACTGTTTGTTCTTTTAAGTTCTTTTACTTTGGGTGGCACAAAAAGTGTACACACCCACACTCAGGGCAAAGAAAGACCACTGACAATTCAAATACCACTCTGACCTGTGGCGGAGTTGTCCAAAAGCACTGAGGAATGTACAAATACCAGTGGGTACTCTACCATACTTCAGACTACGATGAAGAACCAAAAGCCAACAGAATGAAGCCAATTCTGTCATCAGGTTATGACAAAATTACATTTACTTTATCTTATTAAAACCTGTTATAACTGGTTCCTAATCCAGACTAACAACCCTGAGCTGTGGGTTTCTCACAGATTAACAGGATCCAAACCCACAAACTCACTAAAATGAATCAGGTACCATATGGGTGAAGAGTCCCTGACAGGACCATGAAGTGTGTGGTTCTAATCACCATCTGTCCTGCCTGCAGTCGTGCTTGGATGACTTGTAGAATCACCAGGGCTCCAGATGGTTTTGGAAAACCTGAAGTAAAGCATGACAAAAACAATAACAGGCAAATTTGTAGCCATAAAGAACATCTGCAACATCTGAGTGTCATGTCCAAAGACAACCCTGGTTTCATCAGTGGAGTAACAAAGTCTATGTTCTGGGACTAAACTCTGAAACACACTTTTTAAATTATTTTTAACCTCATTATCCTCATTACCCCTCATTATCTTACTAGGACTGTGGGCCGCACTGACCAGGTCTCAGGATCTTCTTGGATATGAAGCAGCACAATGTGATGAGAATCGGGGCATCCTGACATCCCAGTTAAGATCTCAACTTAAGACAAAATGCTACATCATCGCAGGTCTCACTGTCTGCTGAAACTTTCACACTTTATAACTAACTTCACTGAAAAGATTTTTGAACATTTGACAGTCTTTGTCTTTTTGACTAATGAATTGCAGCTTTTTGTGCATCATCAAGTTACAGAACGTTTACAAATGTTTCCAGAAATTAAGTTTGTAATCCAGTCACCCTGTTCTGGTCTGGTCTGGATCAACACCTGGAAGTGTATCTGGTGCCTGAAATCCATTGTGTTTTACCTCCTGATACTGCAGCTAAAAGTGATGGTCTGTCGGACCAGTTATTTGTTTATGACTAACACATCATGGAGGATGATGAACTGCCAGCTCTCTGCCTTCATCCTACAACCTTTCTTCATCTGTCTGTTTACCTTTAAGACATCATCAGTCTCCTCAAGACACTTTAGCATTTTTAACTCCTGCATCATGAAGAAGTACTGCAATAAAACTCTACTGCACTATATACTCTTATTCATTCAATGTGCAACACTCAAACGTAACAAATGAAGGCAGAGTTCTCATCCAGGGAATTTGTGTACGCAAACAACCAACATCCACATTAGCTCAAAGACCTGTTTT